GGGTGAACCAACAGATCAAGGAGAAGCTTCTGAAAAAGATTGGTATGAGATTGGGGGAGTTGCCATTCACATACCTTGGAACTAGTTGGAAGCCCTATAACAACAGAAAAACTGAAGAGGAATGAGTGTGATGCCTTAATAAACAAGCTGACTAGTAAAATTACTGCATGGAGGACCAGACATCTATCTTATATGGCAAGGGTAAGACTCATCAACTCAGTTCTGATGGGGATTATTTCTTTCTGGACAAGAATATTTGTATACCCAAACAGGTCATGAAGGAAGTTGTGGCAGTATGTAGGAATTTTTTATGGGGAGGTACACATAAGTATGCTAAAGTGCCATTGGTTAACTGGGAAGAAGTGTGCTTGAAGAAGAAGTTTGGGGGACTTGGCATCAAAAACATTCTAAATTGGAATAAGGCAGCAATTATGAAGTTGAACTGGGATTTGGCTGGGAAGAAAGATATATTGTGGGTGAAATGGATCCACAGCACGTACATCAAAGAAGAAGAGTTTTGGGATTACACACCTAAACTAGATGCCTGCCAATACTGGAAAGAGATGGTAAGAGTTAGAGAGAAATTTAGGGGAATGCCCAAGGACACAGAATATACAGTGAGGGAAGGGTATGACTGGTTACAGGGGACAAGAATGATACCAAAATGGAAAGATACAGTCTGGAAGGCCACTACCCCTCCCAAAATGTAGTTTGTGATATGGTTGTTGATGAAGGGGAGATTACAAACAAAGGAGAGATTAGCCAGATTTCTTACAATTGACTAGGATTGTGCTTTATGTGGCCAAGATAAGGAAACAGATAGACACCTGATTTGGAAGTATGGAATAGCTCAAAGAATCTCACAAACATGCTTCTCTAGGTTTTACCATCAGCAGGTAGTAATGACCAGCTACCAGGACTTGGAGAACAAAATACAAACAGCAAGTTCGAGGAGGAGGAATAAGCAGCAAATTAAGGCAATCAGGGTTGGATGTGTATATGGGATATGGAGGATGAGAAATAGGATTTGCCACCATAAAAAAAATGCACGGAGGAAGAAACTGTTGAGTATATATACTTTTATATTAGTAGTTTTTTTAACTACAAGAGAGTGATGTAACAATCTGAAAGCTTGTAAATTCTGAATAGTTTGAAGTGAAATGGAAAGTTGTGATTTGTGGAAAAAAAATCGATTGTTGTGGTTTAATAATCAATTATTAGTTTCAGGCTTTGAGTACAATGTTGTTTTTTTCGTTCCAATTTAAGTTGTTTGTTTATTGTAAAACTAAAACAGTAGCCGCCTATTAACCTACTTTTGCTACCCATTTGAAAAAATAAACAGTTTTGTCATCCTTTGTTTTATAAAATTTTTATTGTAGTTTTTTAATATTTAATTTTTTTTAAAATTCCATATCGAATAATTTAAATTAAAAATATCAAACAATTTAAATTGAGATGGGTAAAGTATATAATAGAATTTATTAATCCATTGTTAGTATTTTAAAAATCGATTCAGTCTTAGCTCTTAGCCTACCACGAAGGCCCGAACAAGTTTTAAAATAAACATTTGATTCTCTTGGAAACAATGAGTTGTTTTTTTTTTTTTTTTTTTGAAATAGGAAACAATCAATTATTAGTGTTGCAGTTGGAATAAATTCTCTTGGAGCATTTTCGAATACACAATCATTGATTCAATGGTTAGCCAAAACTGCTACACTGATGCATTTTATACTACGGAGTAATAGTTTTTTGCACAAGCACAAAAAGTTTAATTTATTTACGAAAGAGTAAATTCCCAAAATAGTCCTTTGTAATAAAGGGTTTTCCCAAATTAGTCCCCAAGAAGTTTTAATTATCTACGTGGTCTTCTATAGTTGAGTTTTATTCCCAAAATAGTCCTTTATAATAAGGTGTTTTCCCAAATCAGTCCTTAATAAGTTTTAATTACCTAAATGGTCCTCTATAATTGAGATTTATTTCCAAGATGGTCTTTCGTATAGTAAATAATGTTACTCAAATGAGGATTAATTAAGAGTATTTTTTATCCTCTAAAAATATCAATTATAGAGAACAACATAAGTAATTAAAACTTATTGAGGACTGATTTGGGAAACACCTTACTTATTACAAAGGACCATTTTGAGAATTTACTCATCAATAATTTATGAATTATTTAAAGAGTAAATTCCATAATTAGTCCTTTATAACAGGGGGGTTTCCCTATTTAGTCCTCTATTATCAAATATTATCCTAGTGGTCCTTCTTTTATTGGTACCTTTCCACAAATAGTCCTTTTTTTATCTTGTATCATGTTGGTGTTAATTTGAAGGCTAAAAGTGTAATTTCAAAATGATAATATATCTTTTTTGTCATACACAATTCCAAAGGTTATTCCGTTTGCGTTGTTTATGAATTACAGTCGCTTTCTACTACAACCATTGTCTACAAGTGTGGTCTTTCGTAGGAATCCTAGCCCACAATCATAGTCATTATTTTTGTGTTATTTGCTTAATAAATATCAGAACACGTCACTAAACATAATGTAGATGTTAAATTATAATTTTAACCTTTAAATTAACACCAACATGATACAAGATCCAAAAAAGGACCATTTGTGGAAAAGCACCCTTAAAAAAGGACTACGGAGGTAATATTTGATAATAGAGGACTAAATAGGGAAACCCCCATGTTATAAATGACCAATTATGGAATTTACTCTTATTTAAAACTTAAAAAAATCTTTTAAATTTCAAATCAAATACACATATTTAATTAGAAAAACAATTTTGGGAAAAATACTTCATTATAAATGGTTATTTTAAGAATTAATTCTAAATTTAGAGAATAAAAAATACTCTTAATTAATCCTCATTTGAGTAACATTATTTATGAAGGAGCATCTTGGGAATAAATCTCAATTATAGAGGACCACATAGGTAATTAAAACTTATTGAGGACTGATTTGGAAAAACACCTTATTATAAAGAACTATCTTGAGAATAAATCTTAATTATAGAGGACCATGTAGGTAATTAAAACTTATTGAGGACTAATTTGGGAAAATCCCTTATTACAAAGGACTATTTTGAGAATTTACTCTTTATGAAAATACTACCACAATTTTTTCATTCTTTTTAATTTTTTTCTATTTAAATAGATTTTAGATGTTACATGTAATGAATTGCTTGCATTTTCATTTATTTCGCTTTGCATTATTCTCATCTGAACTAAAGTGTGTCTATATATGTGTGTATTAGTTATTTAATAATGGACACGTGACAAGTGTTTCAATAAAACATTGTGAGGAGATAAATTATTTTATTAGATGTTTGATGTATTAAGCATAAATGTCCAAATTGAAAAAGTATTTTCAAGAAACATAATTTTCAATTTTTTTCAAAAACTAAATTATATTTCTTAATTAGTACTTTGGTCCTAGTGTATTTATCTAGTTTAATCTCTTTGACTCAAATTAGATTAAGTTTTGACCTCAATTAAGGAAAAGTGTAATTTATATTAGTATAAAAAATGACTCAATTAGATTTATCTTGTTGGGAATTTTTAAAGTTTCATTTCATTGTAATAATAAGCAATACACATTCAAAGTAATTGACGCAAAGTAGTTCATCCAGTTTGACTCAAAAAAGTTAAACTGAACGAATTTATTGAGATAGAAGAATTTTTTGAAAATTATTTCATACATTATGAGGTCTTATTGACATGACCGTTCCTAAGATTTCTTAGGCTCGGGGCAAAGAAAGAAATGGGTCTTACCATGAATAACTAGCTAAAGTTAAAAATACCTTTTTGATTAAAACTAGTATCATACTCGTGCGTTGCACGGGTCATAGTTATGGTACTAATTTAAGATCATTTTTAGGAATAAAAATTGGTATATAATGGAATATATAGATTTCATTATTTTAAAGTACAAAAGTAAAATGATTTACAAATTTCGAAAGACTTTTTTATAAACTACATCACTCGTATGTATAATTTGTGTTAGCATTCACTTCGTTGTATATCAGAATCTTCAAGCCATTGCGATTTATTATTCTTTAAACTGCAACATACACTTTCTCATGACTAAATACCAGTTTCCGTAACAATAATTCAATATGTTTCAGATATTGTTCTTGATAATAATTCAATAATTGGACTTATCTAAGTAA